GGGTTGGAGAAGGTGAAGACCTGGAGAGGAACGATGGATCCCCCGAGAGGCCTTACTACATGTCCCCCGAGCTGAGCGAGATCCTGCTGAAGGGGCACCTCGAGCCTTCCAAAAGCGCCGAGAGCCAGGGCTGAGGGGCTCTCCCCCCTCTCCCCTGGGCTAAGGGGCTCTCCCCCCTCTCCCCTGGGCTAAGGGGCTCCTGGTTGGGAACGCTCCTGGTTGGGAACGCTCCTGGTTGGGAATGCTCCTGGTTGTTGAGGGTGTCGGGTCAATCCCAAAAGGGAATCGCTTTGCGTCGGTGTCCAGAGCCCCTGGGAAGAGCTGAGGGGCCCTCCCATCCCTCCAGGGGACCTCTTCTCCCCGAATTTCGTCCTCTTCTCCCCGAATTTCGTCCTCTTCTCCCCGAATTTTGTCCTCTTCTCCCCGAATTTCATCCTCTTCTCCCTGAATTTCGTCCTCTTTTCCCCAAATTTCCCGCCTCCTCCCCAACCCCCGCGGGCCGTTCCCGGGAGCTCGGTGTGTGACAGAGGGAGAGAAGGGGGGGAAGCCCCCCGGGGTGAGCCCCGAGACCTCGTTTGGGCCCCAGGGGGGGTGGTGGCTGGAGGAGCCGTCCCCGGGCAGCCCCCGCTGAGCCGGGGCCGGTGGGATGGGATGGGATGGGATGGGATGGGATGGGATGGGATGGGAATTTCTGCCGGCAGTGGAGGACCTGGAGCGCAACGACGGCTCGGCGGACAAGCCCTACTTCATGTCCCCCAACCTGAGGAAGCTGCTCAAGAAGACCAACGCGGCGGGGCAGCCGGACGCCTGAGGCCCCCCACCCCGGCCTGGCCCACCCCCTCCCCGGCACCCACCGCCCATCCCGAGTGGAATTCCGGCCTCCTGGACCTTGGATTGCCCGCTCCTTCATCCCCTCCTCGGGGAAACGGGGACTGTTGAGGCTCTGACCTCGGACGGGCTCTGGTGGGGGCGAAGTCCCTCCTTGCCGGGGTGTCCTGAACGAGCTCCGTGGGGTTTGATCCCATTCCTTGGGGTTTGATCCCGTTCCTCTGGGTTTGATCCCATTCCTTTGGGTTTGAGCCCGTTCCTTGGGGTTTGATCCCATTCCTTTGGGTTTGATCCCATTCCTTGGGGTTTGATCCCGTTCCTTTGGATCTGATCCCGTTCCTTTGGGTTTGATCCCGTTCCTTCATCCCGGTGAACGAGCCTGGCCACGTCCTCTGTTCCCTGGCGGATCTGGGGGTGGAGGTGATGGGAGAACCAGCCCAGGGAGGGGGGTTTTTTCAGCCCAAAATGTTGGAGATCCCGGCCGTGGAGAGCGGAAACGGGCTGGGATCCCCTCCCTGCTCCTGCCGCCCTGTGGGGGACGCACCGGGGCCCCCTTTTGGGCCCTAGTTGATTAATTACTTTTAGGAATAAGCTAATTAACGCTTCTGTAGCCTGCAGCTTCCGTGGGGGGGTGGAGGGGAACGAGGGGTCCCCCGGGCAGAGTTGGGGGTTGAGGCTCTGGCCGGTTCCTGCACCTCCCTCCCCCCAAAAATCTGCCTCCCAGTACCCAAAACCCCGGCAGTTCGGGGCAGACCCCTCCCTGAACGCTTTGCCTTTGGGGAGAGGGGGCGGTGGGTGGATCTGGGCGGGTTTGGGGGCTCATTTCGGGTGGTTTTGGGCTCATTTCGGGTGGTTTTGGCAAACCCAACAGGTCCAGGAGCTTCGCCAGCTCCTGGCACGTGGTTGGAGGGACAAAAGGGGCTTTGAGGGGCTGAAAGGGGGTTAATTAACTCTAAAATGCAACTAATTAACCCCAAATGTAACAGAATTAACTCCCCTCAGCTCCTCCGAAGCCCCTCGAGCGACGGGGGCAGAGTCGGTGCCACCAGTCGGGCATTTTTTTTTTTTTTTTGTGGCTCTTTTGTTAAAAAAGGACTCAAAAAACCCTCCCCGAGGCTTTGGGGGACGATTCCCAGCTCCCAGAGGACAGGGGAGGGCTGTTCCCACCACCCCCTCCCCCTGGAATCGGTGCCCAGGGGTCCCTTTTTGGGGTTTTGTACCAGACACGGGGGGCCGTTTCTGTGGAATCCTCCAGGGTTTTGGTTTTTTTTTTTTTGGTATGTTTTGCCTTCTCGGGGTGTTTTCGGCTCCGCAGTCGACATTTTTGAGCTTTTCCAGGGGGACTCTTGGGGACAGAATCCTCTGCTGGCCGGGATCAAAAGCTGTAATTTGCTTAAATCCCCCTTTTTTTTTTTTTTCCTCCTGTCTGGGTGCAGCTGATCAGAGCCCCGGGGTGAAGCTGAAACAGGGGAAGGGAAAGGCGAGGGTCAGGAAATGAAGGAGGAG